TATATATATATATATATATATATATATATATATATACACACACACACACACACATATATATATATCGTATACCATACCGTAGCAAAGTTGTTTAAAAATTATATTTCAGTGTGTACTCACTCACTTTGCCTTGTTTCTATAATGAAAAACAAAAATTATTGACACAAGTTTATTATACAGGCCTTTCAAGTTAGAAGTGTAAATGATTTTTTTATTAATACGCCAGTAAAAAGGCGCAATGTGTAGCTAAGCTTGAATTATTTCCAGTGGGATATTTGTTCCGGTGAATCCGATCTGAAACAGAATACTGATTGTGTTGTAATCTATATTTTCAATACTTCAATTTAGATGTCTTAGAGGGAGCTAACTAGAATGATGACAGTTCACGCAAGTTTAAGACTTCAAGAATCTGGTAATCATAGATTTATATCTATGCAAGTAATTTAGGCCAACAATTAATGTCAATATGAACGTGGGTGTAGCACACGTTTATTGAGGAAATAAATTAGTTCATTATCATTAGTTGGACTAGACATTGCATAATTTTACCAAATTATCCAAAAGAACACGCACAACAATAGAATTTTTGCAATGTTATACTTTCATTGGCGAGTTCTTTTAAATTGTCTGATGAAAATGTCCAGACCACCAACAATATTAAATTATTTAATTTCCTCCTTGAATGTTTCGGCAAAACCGAACACTTGTACACTGCCGTAAACTGCTGTAGGCCTACGTTATGAATGACATTAATTAACGTAAAATAGATCAACTTACTTGTATAAAGTAGCCGCGACAATTAACACACAGACTGGTTTTCTTTCCACTCTTCAAAACTATCTAATATTTATCTTTGAGTATGCGAGAGAGAAAAACTTTACATCACATCCTTAGAGCTTTTTACGTGTTCTATGCCATCTAGGTGACAAATTACAGAATTACAAATATTGCTTACAACAGAATACGTTATAATACTGATGTCAGAAATGAAAATATTTTGGTAAAAAATAAAAGAGAACTTTGAGTAAACTTCAACTTTCAAGATGACAACATGAAGAGAGACTGGAAATTTATCAAAGCTGATGAAAGAATTAAAAGAAGGACAAGAAGAAAGACTCAGAAAATTAAAAGAATACAAGAAAGAGAAAAAAAATAAAAGACCAAGAAATTTTTTATAGAAAATTAAAAGAAAAACAAGAAGTAAGAGACTGTAATTTAAAAGAGGAGAAAGAAGAAAGAAAGAAAGCAAAATTAAGAATAAGAATAAATCTAATGGAAGACAATATCGGCAAAGCTATAAGATATGTACAGGACATTAAGACAATTCTTTTGGAGGTGAGTATCCGGGAGAAGGACTGAGCATGTTTTGTTGTGACGGGGATTCAAACCCGCGACCTGCAGATTGCGAGTCAAGTGCCCTAACCACCTGGCCATGCCGGGCCACAGAAAGTGTAAAAACAAAAAAGCTGTAATGACAAAATCATAGAAATAAAAAAGAGATTATTTAGGTAGAAAAGAATGTCAATGAAAGAATAAAACATAAGAAAAACGCTCTATTTAATGCAATGATTAAACCAGCCCCACCTCTAGCTGTATCTGCTGAAGTGTTCCAACCTAAAACACCATTTTCAATGAATAATGGAAAAGGAGAACCAATTTGGTCCACATCTACTTCCACTATTGCTGTGACATCTGTTACTGCAGGACCTTCCTCCTTCCTGAACTAATCCAATCATGTCTCTATCAAATCCAACTCCAGAATATAGCTGACAAATTAAACAACGTCATATAATTGAGAAATCAATGGACCAGTATGGAAATGTGCCGTGGGAGACTAATTTTGAAATAATTGCCAAGGTGAACAAATAGAATAGTGAACAACAAGCTATTGATCTCACTGTTCACGAAAAAGAACCAGCTTTAACAACATTAAGTAGCTTTCCAGCTGAGAGCCATAACGACTATCAAGCAATGGTAGCAGCCTTATCAAACAGGTTCATATGCAAGAAGGAAGTATCCAGAGCAAAGTTACAAAATGGTACATAGGAAATAAGAGACACAAGACGAACTTGCATAATAATTAGAAAGGCTTGTCCAATTTTATTACCCAGGTGTTCCACATGAAATGATGGATTCGTTGACACCTGATTAATTTATAGATGACATAATAATAGATGAGTATACGAGAATTAGGTTGAAGCAAAGTAAGTGTATATTTTTAAAGGAATCTCTCTAATTGGCGATATAACTTGAATTCATTAATGTTGCAGAAAAGCAGCTAAAAGTACCACCTAGAAGATACAGATCATCAGATCAGATAGTATTAAAACATCAACTACCCTGGACAATAGTTTGAAAGAAATAAAAGGATTAGATAGACAAATTGTCACAAAAATATAAGAAATGAATCACAAAACAGTAGATGTTTCAATTGTAAATTGAAAGGACGTATTGTCTAGAACTGCAGATTAATGCCTGTATGGAATAAGACTGCCTCTCAAAGGATATCAGAAAGATGGAACTGTTGTGAGAAACATGGCTATTATAACCTATACTGTAAGGTATTTTTAAATAGCTCTTATTAATTCAAGGAGACAATATACTGAGAATGTGTCTCAGAGCTCAGTCAGATAAAAGGAACAACAAAGAGCTAACCAGACATAAAAGACAGAAATTAGCTGGATTTACAAGATGGAGTTTATTTGGGAATATTCTATCTGTCCCAAATGAGATAAGAAGTCCATTATTTGTGGAAAACCACCCTCAAGTACATTAGCTTGTATGAAAAATCTTGTAATATGCTGATTGATTCTGGTTCTACAGCTACAATTGTTCAACCCGGTTTTGTAATGAGAGGTAGAAAATTACTTACAAAGATGAAGAAAAAGAGGGATTTATGAAAACAGTAGAAGGACAACAAGTTCTAGCAAGAGAAAAGTTGGATTTTGACACTATATCAAACGATTAACGAGATTCCCACTGTACCTATCTACTATCTAGCGAAACCACAGCCAAGGGAACTGGCTAGGAAAAATCTTCGGACTCCGAAGAAGCAAGAAGCTTCTCCTTGCCTCATGATATGTGGGTAATTAACATCGAAAAAGAGAGCATATTGGGAACTGACTTAATGCAAAGATATGAATACGAGGTCAGACTAGCTTCACAGTCTAAGACCAAACAATTCCTATTCACTACATAACAAATACCACACAGAGGTTGAACTTCCAGTGACAAAGAGAGTGTTGTCAGTGTATCAGCAAGAAGTGAAATACTCATACAAGGTGTTATTAGAAGTACATTTACATCTAATTACTGGCGTAAACATTCCAGAATATCCTGATGGCTTGGTGTTTAATAGAACTCCCGTAGATCAGAAGAAGAAAGACATCATACATAGCTCTACCTGGGAAAGACTTAAATTACCTTGTGATAAAATGAAAAGTCACTATGACATTAATGCTGATTAGACTGTATTTAATTTTTGTGACATGGTATGGCATAGCTGAACAATTTTCCTTGCAAAAAAGAACCAACTCCAAAGTAGACAATGGGAATTATCATACATTCTACTGAATAGAATCAATGTAATGAATTGTAGAATCCAGAAGGACAGGCTGTCAAAGTCAAAGGTCATCCATCATGATTTTCTTTGGAAGTATCTTGGTGAGAGAACATCCAATAAAGGAACTCCAGAGAAGAATTTGCCAGTGGAAATAAAACATGTAGAAAAGCTTGGGGTTCCTGTCGAGACATCTTCCAGAGAACTGACAAGGATAGACCCACCAATGGATTCACTCAGCACCAATATATAGAATGTTCCCTCCCCAGTGACGGGACAAGGTATGATAAGGGACAAGAGACAATCCCATCTGTATACTGATGGGCAATGTTATAAACTATATTATTAATTTTTAATTCGAATGCTTTGATAAAAGAAATTAATCACAGTGATGATGCAATATATCTAGAATGTTCGTGAAAATTAAGGCCTTTGTAGACTCTTAACAATTTCGTGTAATGTGTGGAAGCAAAGGAACAATATAAATACAGGTTTCAGTAAACAGTTAATGAGTAGTGAGTTACTAAATAATCACGTCAATGCATGTCAACTAATGAGCATAATGAGTTATAAGTTCGTGAGTACTCTGTGAGTGATTCAGTCCAGTGTTAAATGA